AGAATATATTTATACTTCATTACACTTTCGTGAAAAGGAAACTTGATTTTATATGAAGCATTTTATTTGAAAATGGATCACTAACAAAAAATTATCGTTTATAGAGCACATTTTAAATTCAATTCTTTTTATTCAAAATATCTACTCTAAAAATAAAATATAGGTATCTATTTAAAAAAATATATATTTCTAACCTTACCTTGCAATCGATGTATCATTTTCGGACACTTCTGAAAGAAAAAATTTACTAAAATGACAAAAAAAAGTTTAACGCACTCAAAAAAATTTTTGTTTACGAATTTAAAAGATTCGTACACTCTCGAAGCTATTCACATTTCTTTAAAGATATCAAATAAAAGACGGATAAGTGAAATATTTTAACGCAATGCTTTTAAAATTACAAAATTGACACTCACATTGACAATATCTAAACAGGTCGATACACGAATTGCAACTGATTGAATTATTTGGGATTTTCCAAACCACATTGTTATGACCTTCCGCTTAAGGTATCCTTTGTACTTAAATGTAAACATACCGCTCGGGATGCAGGTATAAAGGTATAATAAAATTCCCAAAATCCCTTCGACATATTATAATTTTATAAGCATTAACTATAAATACAATTTTTATTTGGGACATTCCACCGTGAGATTTTCATTCAATTTGACTTTGAACAGTTTTTTTTATCAAAATCTTTATGAAAAATAAGAAAATACGGATATATGGAATAGTTATAAAATATCCTTTCCAATAAATTTTGAACGAACTTTCTAAGAGGTTGAGAACATTGTTTATTTTACACTTAAACAATTAATTTTGCATAAAACAATGGGTAAATTTAAAGAATTAATTTTTTTATTTCATTTATTAAACAGACATATTTCATGTGTAGTTTTTTAATAAATAAATAATAATAAAAATAATATTTTTACTCCAAAAATACCATTTTTGCAGAAACAGGGAAAAGTTCCATATTTATCAGAGACTGAATTAAAAAAAAATCAATAATCGATCACTTTGCCCAGAAAGCACGTAAGCTTGCAGCAACTTGGCAAGCTTGCCGCGCAATATTGCCAACTTTGTACGGCAAACTTGCCGCAAGCTTCTAATGTCCCACTTGACTCAAGCTTGCATGGTAAGCTTACTGAAAGATTGCAGTGTATGGTTACTGCAAGATTGCACAATAAGATTATCGCAAGATTGCTCAGTAAGCTTGCACGGTATGCTTGTAGCAAGATTTGTGCAAGTTTGCCAAATAACCTTACTTTGAACCTAACAATTTTATTTTCTTTAATGTTTCGTCTAATTTATATAATAAAATTGTATAAATTAGACGAAATATTTAAAAAAAAAATTTCTTAGGTTCAAAGCAAGGTTATTTGGCAATCTTGCACCAACCTTGCTACAAGCTTACCGTGCAAGCTTATTGTGCAATCTTTCGGTAAGCTTACCATGCAAGCTTAGGTCAGGTGGGACATTTAAAGCTTGCCGCAAGTTTGCTGCAAACTTACGTGCTATTTGGGCGGTTTTGAGAAAAGTCACTTTTTAGACTTAATCGTCACATTGAATGCCTCAATTAGAGTAATTTTAATGACATAAATTTATATTTTAAAAGTGCTCTATATACATATATTATTGTTAGTAGTACGGTTTGAAATGGACTATCTCTTCTTAAATTTCTTTTTAAAATATGTATATATTAATTTTGATTTTAATGTAAATGTAATTATAATTCCTAGCTTTTATCAAAATTCTCATCTTTTTCCAGTCAACAAAATTTCATACTGTATACAAAAGTTGATCAGCCTCCGCCCATTGTTTCTTTTTTAATTTGGTTTCTAAATGAATATACAATTTCTACAATATTTTAATTGGCAGGTTGACGTCTTTTCAACTATTTATAAATAAGAAAACTTGAATACAAGTCAATTCACTTACCTTACTTTAAATATTAACTCGAATATAAGACGTTGAATATAATTTTGAGACAAAAATATAATTTAAAGTTTATTCCAAGTATAAAAATTCGAATGTGTTTACTTTTTAGTTAATATTCACCAATATTCTGCCGTCCCAACAAGAGTAGCAGTAACTACATTTTGGTTAAGTCACTTATTGGTGGCAGTGGCAGTGGCAAGTAGGTGACTCATCCTAAATGCAGATACGGTTATTCTTGTTGGGGCGGCAGTATTGAGGGTAATTAATAGGAAATATTATATCTACAAATGTAAATAATTAATAGTTATAGATTTTAATATTAATTAAAAAATTGTAATTTTGTATAATTATTATCCCAATGTGTATAACTTATTAAAAAGTAGTTTAAGGAAACCGCGAACAAAATGTGACGTTTAAGTTAAAGTACATATAGCATGAGTTCATTCATCGCGCACCAAATATGTGAAATGTGCGTAGGTTCCTTTTTTCCCCGGCACCTACACACTAAGACGTGAAAACTGGTTTCACGAAATGAATATATATATATATATATATATATACACTCCAAGAATTTTATATTCCCTTCACTTAACATTAATAGTTTATCGTGAATTTTTGCATCAAACTGGTATGGTTTTTTGATACATTTATAGATTTTAAATTGACCAATATACGCATACTTATACAAACGTCTTGTATCTTCTTTTGTAAAGAGTATTCCCTATAATATGTAAATTCCGATAATTAAGAAAATAAAGATGTGATAGTGTTTTAATGAGAAATTTTTTACTATTCATTTATTGACAAAGAAGGAACAGAATTTCTTATTACTAAAATATTTTTTTCAGGCAAAAATTTTCGAACTGAGATGATGGAATCAACAAAAATTTGTACATAGTTCAAATTCGAGATTAATTATTCATGATTCAAGTTTATATTGATCCTTTTGTTAAAAGGAATTTATTATTATTGCCTAATAAAATATGAATTTAGTTGATATTTTCAATTATTGGCAGAACTAAAACATAAAAGTTTAAATTAATAATATAGATAAGATATTAAATTAAAATTCATGATTTGATTTTTATTGATTAATAATTTTCATAAATTTTAATACATCAATTTAGTTTCCACATATTTTGTAACTTTAATATTAATTAATTTTACTATAGTTTCAAAATAGTTTTAAAATAGATTTAAAAAAGAAACACAAAAATAAATTTGAGAAAATTATATATTATTCATATATATATTTTTCAATGTATATAATTTTACCAAAAAAAGTCACCAATCATATTGGGTTTACAACTATAGGTAGTTTCTGTAAATTTGAATAATTATTTCTTTATTAATGAATACTTATTATATTCTTCACCTGTATTGTCGTGACAACTACATATTGTTGCGTTCACATTCTTAATGATAATTTCAATTCTCCTTCTGTTTACTATTCGTCAGTCGCAAACGATACATTCTTCACATTTTTTAATATTGATAATGAATGGAAATATATTTAAAATATTCCATATATACTCAATAATATTTGATCAAGTAACATCAGATAATGAGAATAAAAATAAAATAAGCAATAAAAAATATAATAATAATAATAATAATAATTTAAAATAGAATAATAGAAAAGCAGTCATAAAAATGAAATTTTTCAAAATGATTGCATTCGAAAATAATATTGAGAAAACTATTCAATAAGGATGCTAAACGCATTTCGATAACAAAGGCTTTTCATAAAATTTCGAGGAACTTGCACCATACGAGAGTGACTCAATTCCACGAATTCACTCTGACGTTGAATGTATTTTAATTCAAACACGATCCTGCACTTTACCATGCTTGTTGCAGTTTAAACTCCGACCATGACATTTTCTTTACTCGCGCGCAGATTTACAGCTTGCATGCGTACACATAATTATTTTATGAAATACTATTGAAATACACAAATTGCACATTTTTGCATTTTTCCCTTTTCTAGATAATTATTATTATTATTATATTCTTTCACTAATTTTTATTTAAATGAGTAAAAGATGTGGATATAAAAAGATTTATTGCAATATTAAAAATTCTCTTTTGTTAATAAAATAAAACAATTTTTAATTTGGTTAATTAAAATTTTATTTTTTTAAATTAAAATTAATTATTCTTTAGTTATATTGTAATTATTGTTAATTAAATAAATAAACTGTCGAAACAAAAGAATATGTTACCTTAAGAAGAATCGATAATTTTTAAAAACACTTTTCCATATTTAACAGAATTCACATGATAAAATCACTTTAAATTTATAAAAATTATTATTCAAAAATATATATGAAAATTTTGAAAAAATGTGATTCATCACCTGTTGCGCGAGAAATACACCACGAGATCGCGAGGGAAACTGAAACATATCATGCATATCAGAAGAGCACTGGCGACATCTCTTTCCTCGAACTATTTTCTATAATTCAAAATTTGTCGGTAATTTTTATTCCTTATAAAGAATTATTTTATTTATATTAAAAAAAATTAATTGTTAATTTACTTCGAATTCAGATACAAAAAAAAATTCAATTTCAAATTTCTTTTTCATTTGTAGATAATTTATCATCTGTTAGTAAGAAACCGATAGAAGAAAAGTTGAAATCTCCGAAATCTATTTTATCTACAGATGGTTCTAAATTTTTGAAAAATATCTCGGATCCCCTAATAAGCAAAAAAAAAAAGATTGCCTTTTGGTTTTTATTAATATCAAAAATAATATATATGAACTGCCGGATTAAAGAAGGGCACATAACCCATTTGAATTACATTAGTTACGTGCCCTTCTTTGATCCGGCAGTTCATATATATTTTCCAAAATTAATTAAATTATTTTTCAAATTAATATAATAAATCATTTTTTTTTAGTTGAAAAAGGTTAGATTTAAAAAATAATAATTTAATTATAAAAAATTTCGTATAATCCCTATCAAAAATTGACTACTGGCAAGGTATTGGTACTATTTAATTTTTGGTACGGATGTTTAAAATACAGAAAAAAGGACATAAATAGAAAAAAATTGCACATAGTTTTAGTATTATTTTGACTTTATAATAGTATAAACAAACATAAACAACATTTACAATATAATATATATGTATATATATTATATATAATATACAGTGAATTATTTTAAGTACACAATATTCCTGGTAACTTATTTGGTTGACACGATGCTCTCTTATTCTTTGGACGCGTTAAACTTTCGTATTGTCAATGGTGTTGATGTTGAGAGCACACGACATTTAATAAATTGCACCTTATACTTTCGATAAAATTGTATACGATTTTCTCTACAGTACAGTAAATCTCAAGATGCTATATTTTATTTATACATAAAAATCCTAAAAAACGAAAATGTTGTACAAAATGCGCAATTAGGCTTTATGAAAGTCGTTTGATATTTCTTTTTTTTAATTCCCACTAAATTACTTTTTTTTGTTGTTATCAAAATCTCTTTGTATATAATATTCGAAATTTTTACAGTGGGACATAATATATTTATATATTATATTTTATTAAAGATTCACATTATAGAAACACATTGTTTGCTTATATGCAAATAATGTAAGTACTGTTTCCCAGAGAATATTTTCAGTCATTTTTTTTTTTTTTTTTTTAATTGTCTTTTAATGACAATTTTGTGTGCGTAAAAATCCCATTTTTTGATCTTTTAGATAAAATGAGTCTTTTGTTTTAATTTAAAAAAAAAAATTCACGCTGATATTTCGGAAGCAGCGCATTTTTCGAACATTGCATCAAGAACTTGAGAGAATTTAAGGTACCTCTCTTCTGGACCTACTGTAGCCCCCCTACTACCCCATAAAAATTTTATATGAAATTCTGTACGAAAGGCGTCAGCGAGTAATTCATCACTTCGACAGCCATCTAAGGCTATTTCGGCATTTCTTCGAAAAAGGGGAAGATTTTCAGTTAATTTTCGAGATGCCTCGAGATGAGCCCAGACAATTGAGAGACCACAATCTGAAGCTGAATGTTCCCAGGGTGAAAGAATTGCCGCCGCTAAGCCTGATGGCGAAACTGTTCCTGTAAATTTCGATTTTGTTAAAAAAAAGAATGTCTATTCCTTCTTCTCTTTTTTTTTTTTTTACTCAAAAAAGTAGGCGTTAATTTTTCGTTTCCATAAATATTTGTTCAACTTTTTAATCTTACTTTCCATAAGTAATGATAACAATTATGTAAAAATAAGAAATGATAATAAGAATAAAATAAAAATAATGATTTCTAAATACGTTCACTGCGCAACTCTTCGCAAAAGCATAACCTAACCTCTTTGTTGACGTTGGGAATAAGCCCGCTGTATTTTGACCAATGAGGTAAGATCATTGTGTCATGCGCAGCCTGATTTTCTGCAGTAATACCCGCACAGGAATTGATGTTTCCTTAGTTAATGCAACATAGAAATACCGGCATCTCAACAGCAATACCCTCATTTACAATTATTTTTTAATTGATATTTTTAAATACAGAGAGTGCCACAATAAATCTAACTTTAATTTATTAACAAAATTTAATAATAAAACTTTCATCTGTAATTGAAATAACAACATTTGGTTATAGACAAGCTTTGCAAAGTTAGCCTACACTAAAAATTAACAGAATTAACCACAGTTACCCTATAATTAGAAAAGTATATTTTTGTTTTTTGAAAATTGTTTTCATTTAAAAAGACAATTAGAGCTGTTTAATAAAAAAAAAAAAACTTGTAAAAATCTTGATTGGAAATATAATATTTCCTAACTCATTCCTCGTAAGAGATGCCTGTATAACATTAAGACATAAAGCATTTGGCACCAACAACTTTAAAGTCAACAAAAATGCGTACTCCATAAATAACTGCAAATACAGGTTTCAACAGCCTGCTCTCTTATCAGATATTATGCATTCTGGGCAAAAGAAACGCAATTTCCAATATAAATTATAAATTGGAATTTTTAAAAAATTCAAAAGTATCTATGAACCAAAAAATTTCTATAAATATACTATTAAACTCAAAAATTGAATTGTTGAGCAAAGATTAAATGGTATTCTAATTTTTTTAAAAATATGCAAAATTATACAAAAATTTGTTTTTTCTTCTTTGATACGGTGTACCAAAACGTTTGAGAAATAGGGAAATAATATTAAAACGTAAAGAAATTAATTCGTTGCAGTAGGAAACTGGATTTTGCAGTCAAAATTTCCTACATTAATTGCAAATATTTTCTAGGATAGCGAACAATTTTGCTATGGCAGCAAAAAGTTCACTATAACAGCAAAATTGTTCTCTGTCCCTATATCAACGACCATATTTTGTTATATCAGCAAAAAACTCGCTGCCACAGCAAACTTCTTTTATGCGTACCTAATAAATATGAAAACCAACATTTTTCCAAATTCAGGCCTAGGATGCACTTTAAGATTTTAAAGTTGATCCTTTTATGATAAAAGGAATATTTTTATGTAAAACGAATTACTTTTAACTTTAATAGACTGTTTTGTCAGTGTAAGTTAATAATTTCTTTAACAAGATTATTTAAATTAAGAATTTCGGCAAATGGTAAAAAAAAAATTTGAATCAGACAATGCTAGGAAAAAATTCCAAAAAGTCGTACAATTCGAGATCTGAAAGTTTACTTATTTATTTAAAAATGTTTATTCAAAGGTTTATGGAATCGCTGAATCCAAATTTGTTGTCAGATTTAAAGAAAAATAAAAATGTCGAACAAAATTTAAATTGAAAAAAAAATTGTTCATTTCTAAACTTTGTTAATGATTCTAACTTTGATCCAATATGGTGAACTTATTTAAAATTTGTTTGTGGATTTCTGGGATCGCTGAATTTGAATTTAAGACAAAGCTTTATTTATATGTTAAAGCTCCAAAAAGAGTCTAAATTTCCCGTTCTTCATAAATTTATAATTAGAAATTTTTATTTTCAAATAAGTTTCAGTTGAATTTAAAATCTATCTTATACTTTGAAGATTATCTCAATTTTAAACTTCTCTAGAAATAAAATTTTCTATTAACCGTGTGACTAATAAAGTTTGAATAAGTATGAAACACATTACCTAGAATATCCTCAAGTCCACGTTCACCCAATAGAGCGATAGGCAGTAAATGTGGAAGTGTGGTATTTGGTGCCTGGGGATTATTGCATTCGTTCATTGCCCTCAAGGTGGGCCTGAGTTTTGCCTCAAAACTAAAAGCCTCATCAGTATATTTCTGTCGCAATAAATGCCAAGTGTTGGCAAGTTTTTGAATTTGGGGCAAACAGAGACCCAACATAATACTACAAAATCCATAGAGATTTCCAAGGGCAGTTTTTGTATCAATTGCAACTTTAATCCATTTGCTGATTGTTGTTGCACGTTCAATTGCATTTGCACCAGCCAATACTGTCACAGCCACCAATAATTTCATACACTCTGATCTCTCAATGAGATCTAATCTCGCCTGACGACCATGAGGCAGTGTCGCTAATTCCAATCCACTTAATCCACCACGACTTCCCATACCAGCGTTTAACGCTATCTCAAGGTCAATTCTCGTGAGGTGCGAGGCAAGTACCCTTGGCGCCGAGTCATGCAACATTCCAGAAACGCCTCTCAGTGCCGTTGGGTCCAGAGGTCGATGCTCACCAGCCGGGAGCAACAGTGTCGTGAAACCCTCGAGGTCAAGAGCAGTTGCTATTTCCAGAGTCGGTGCCGCCACCACAAGTTGCTCTTCAGTTGAGAGTTCATATTCGCTTGTATTACCGTTAGCGCCTTCATTCACATTATAATGACTTCGAATGACAACGCCTTTGATTGGTGCCGATGATGTTTGACTACCGGAATTATTTTCAAATTCACTGTCACCAGATCCGTTACCACTGTCGCTGCCCGACGCTTGATAACCATGATGGTGATGATGATGATGTAGATTATGATGATGATGATTGAGATGATTGAGGTGATTCGGAGTATAGGGAATTCGAGGTGGTTTTGGCGGTGGTGTTGGTATTTTTTGATTTGCCAATTGAAGATGATTTTGATTCGATTGTTGTTGTATTGACGATGCTGGTAATTGATGATGATTCAATTGATGTTGTTGAGAATTTGATTGTTGTTGAAGAAATGATTGTTGGGGATGTTGAATTATTGGATCAGAAATGACCCTGGTGATTTTTTGTCGTCCCAATGAAAGTGAGCAGGAGGGTGATTGATTTTGTATTTGGGGTATTCGTGGTAAGGTGCTTGATTGTATAGATGAATTTTTAGTGTTGGGAAGTTTGGAATGATCGAGGGTGTGCTGTTGAGGTGTTAGGGAATGGCTTCGTTGTTGTTTTCTAGGTAGTCGTGGCGGAGAACTTGTCGACAGGGAGGAGGAGGAGGAGGGACTAGAACAATGATTCCCTTGAGGAACACAAGTAATAGGTGCGGATCTTGGTCTTGGATTAATAATTCTGGCTCCACTTGCTTGACTTATTGGCCTACCACTACCAACATAGAATGTTATCAAGTCAGCGACGGTATCAAAGGCTTCATCCTCGAATTGATATTGTGCTCGTTCGTAAACAGTTTCTGGTTGAAGGACAACCTTGAAAAGAAAGAAAATGGGGTTTTGTGAAAAAAAGGATGTCTCGAAATAAATAAATATTGTCTCCATAAATATAGAGTCTGTGGGAAAAAGATGTTCGTACTTTGTTGATAACGAAATGAAGAGCTTGCCCCTTACAACGCACAGTGAGAACGTAGTTGCCGGGTTGAGATGCACAGTCTCGAACTAGGAAGTCACCCTCGTTTGGTACTTCAGCTTCAGCCCCTTTGCGACCTCCTCGAAGTGTGCTGCCATGGTACCAGGCATGAGAGCGCAAATCTCGAGGATCGAGCAGCCGGAGTTCCCTTTCCAATAGTTTACGTAATGTTTCTTCAGACTGATCCTGGAATAAAGTTTCTATTCTAGTTTTTCAATTATCTAGAATATAAAAAAAAAAATGTTTGACTTAGATTAAGACTCGATTTTCTTCTTTATTCAGTAATCAAGTGTACTCTAAATTCTATTACTTATTCTACTAACTTAATTTGCTATTAATTTTCTAACACTTTTCTAAAAATTCAATTTAATACAAAAAATAACTAGCAGATGAATCAAAAATTGACCGTACGCGAGAAAACAAGCACAAATGAAGAGTGTACAGCCTCTGGTGGACGAATAGTTAACTACAAACATACTCGATAGGCAAAGCTCGAGATTTTTACAAACACTTAACTTTCTCTGTGATTCTGTGGAGTAGCAATCGTATTATTATTTGAACCAGACCCTCGTTTTATTTTTTTAATGAATGCAATGCGTTAAATCACCATTCATGAAGAATAACATAAATAATAATTAAAGACAAATCTATAATTGTTGATGTATTTAAGACACTCGTTTCGTAATTATATCAATCAATAGTGAAGAGACAGAGAAAGAGAGTTTGTGTTAAAAGATCGGTTCAATGAATGCAACCTTGACTAAAAGATATATACATATAATAATATACCGCAAAGCTTCCGACTTTCTTATAATCAACAACCGTGGAATGTTCTTTTTTTCTGAACTGAAAGTGCGTGCGCTCATATTGTAAAAAATGACAGTGGTTTATATTCAGGATTTGGGGAAAGAGGGACAACCCATACTTTTGTCATGAGTCACGTGCGTCACTTGTGCTTTTCATACAAGTCACAAATGGAACGAATTTTTTTTTTATATATGAAAGAGACAAATTATCAAAAATGTACGAAGAATTTTAGGATGATATATATATATATGATGATGATAATAGTTTATATTGGTAATAAATAATAATATAAATTTTTATATAATAAACTATGGAATGATTCCTTTGTTTCATTATTATTAGAATAAAAAAGTTATTCTATTTTAAAAATCCTTTTATGTTTAATTATGAAAAGAAAACTGGTTTAAAATTCTCAGTTCCCTTAGGTTTTGAGTAATTGATTGAAGAGCTACCTTTACGCCCACTGTGATGCCTTCCTCCGTCTATGTCTTCGTTCTACGGTATATAATTATCGCGTAAAAGTTTATTTTCTCTCAACTCGGTATCGGAAACTGGATTTATTAGCTAGGCATGAAAATCCTCTCAGGTTAAAGAAATTCTACAAGAGGTTGACACCCTAAGGAATATAGGATATATATAGGTATATATATTCTGACACCTTAGAATAATACCTGTAATGTTATTGATTGTTTTCCCTTTGTTCATTTAGAAGAAGTAAATTAAAATTTGTTACATTTAAATTATTATTGAATTACTACTGTAAGAGTATTAAATGCAGTAATGTCAATATTATATTACACGCAGTAATATAATATAATATACCATTGTAAATGGTACAATCATCATAAAGGAGAATAATCGTGGATCATCACCTAAGGATGATGAGCAACTTTTATGATTAACATCGAGAAGTAAATTTTTGAATGCACAAAATTCTTGATGATCACTGTATATATATATATATATTTTTATAATAGATTAGTGAAGATTAAGAATTACCATTTTTGAATTGTTATTTTCCTCAGGCCTTTTTGGCAAGGGTCTTGATCGAAAAAGGCATGCGTCGTGCCCCTCTTTTTTTTCTTGTTCCTTCACCTTTTGGTCCTTCTCCTCCTCCTCCTCCTTGTTCTCCGCCCCGGTGATTCTACGAGTATAAAATAGTATCACCGGTACCACACGGCACACTCATCACGACTGTTGACGTTGATTATTGCGTTTGGCTTTTACGAAAATTAATAATTAGAAAAATTTTCAATGACAATGGAATTTTATTGAAATGGAAGGGTAGTAGTAGTATTACTATCACGCCCTGTCAAGAAAACAATAAAAAGAAGAGGATAGGGTTTGACCACGGCTCTCGACGAGCGCGCGCGCCCTACTGAACCATGTTCATATTCCACGAGCCCTCGCGACTATCAGGGACGTAATATTCTCAAGGCGCGAAACATTCACCTCGATCGAGCCACGAATAATCAGAATGCATCAATTTCCAAATATAATTAAAGAATATATTTCATTTCGAAAATAAAATTTGCAATTTCACACATTGAATTGTAAAATTTTTCACTTGATTAATAGTGTGTTAAAAAAAAAAAACGAAAGTTGATAATTATTAGATTTGTTGATTAAATAAAAGAAGGTAATAAATTTTTTTTTTTTTTTTAATATAGACAAGTGAATTCCTTATTTTTGGAATAAAGAGTTCATATATACTTCACTGAATTTAAGTGTCTGTCTTTGTTATTCACACATTGTGTATACGCTTGCGTCAAGTTGCCGGTTCTCGTTTCTCTTTTTTGGGGGAGGACGTTTAAAATGATCACTCATCGTGCGGTGAACTCGATATGTATTTAGTCACGGTGAGAAATTCCTTTTTTAATACACGTCTTAGATTCGTCGTCAAGTAGGATATAGCCTTCATTCTTGACACTTTAACCGTGATTCACGATGTGCGATGGTTATATGTGGAAAGAAAGTTATTGATCTCAAACTGTAGAGAAGGGTATATTTATGGGGGGTTGTAATGGGGGTTGATGGTGCGCTTGCGTATCGTGAGACACTGTTCGATAAGGGAGAGTATGTATATATATATAAGATGCACGCGCGTGCACGTGCACTTTTTTTTTTTTTTTTTCATTTTTGCCGGCCGGTTCTGACAGAGCGGAGAGACCCTTTAGACTTGAATGAAAGAGACTTATACATTTCAGTGTGCGCCTATTCATGTGGGTGATATTGCTAGTTATGAAGCAACACGAGGGTTACCCGCGAAAAGTTATATACTCTTATATATGATGTTGAAAGGTTGCTATTTTTGTCATAAAAAAAAGAAAAATTGCCCTAGACATTTTTTAAGACGTTCTTTTTTTATTTTTAGTAAAGATTTATACAGTGTCTTTCTTACCTGAAAAGAGTGAATATGAAATTTTGTTTTTGTTTTGGAAAAAAATGACCCAGAGAAAAAAGATACCACAATGTTTATATGATAAACAATTTTTAAAGAAATATATTTTTTTTTTTTTTTTTTTTTAATGAAAAATTCTATGAATTTTTGTCTCAAAAATATTTCTTGTATTTATTCATCAACAAATTTTAAAAAACAATTTTTTTAGACAATTTTTGCAATTTTTAATTTTATAAAAAATTTGTTTTCTAATCGTTGATTATAAAAGTTGCAAACTTCAAGAAGATATATTTGTTTTGTTTCAAACAAATTATCTTTGATTGAAAAAAAATTATTCAAAGAAATTTTTTATTTAATTCAAATAAATGTTTCTTTGATCCTATATATATAAATGTTAGAATTTCTTTGATTTAATGGACAAATTTCTTTTATTCAAAGACAGTTTCTTTGAAACTAAGAAGCTTTTTTTGTTTCAAAGAAAATTTTATTTTGAATGAAAGAAAACAAGTCGAAGAAATTGGTTTTTTTTTTAAATCAAAGAAATCTTTTCTCTAGGTGTAGAAGTTTGTATAAATATTTTATCGACGGGGGTGTCAAAATATATTTTTATTTGATTTAAATAAATTTTGTCTCAAATAAAAATTTCTTTGGATATATAATAATCATAAAAAGTTCCAGGAGTAAAAAAAATGTATAGATATAGAAAAATTTGTCAGAAATTTTTTTTCAATCAATTTTCCCGAAATGTTTTCGTTATCAATTAAATAGAATTGCAAATTTCAACATAAGTTTCATTTAATGTTATTTTTTTGTATATTTCGGCAAAATCTTTTGTAATAAATTTATTGATCAGCTAAATAATAATGAATGGAAAAAACAATTTAATTGAAAATAGTTTGTAAAGAGACGGTGTGTCTACATCAAAGGAGGTCGCTTCATCAGCTGGATAAATGTCCGCTTTACTGGCTTTTATATAGCTTCGTAAAAGGCGTGATGGCAAATTTAACGCGTTGCAATTGCTATACTGAGACATATATATATGCATATATATACATATATACATATCTGTATATGAAAATTTTTCATTTATATTGCATATAGTTATACACACATCTTAGAAGTATCTCCAATGATTGTACATCTCGCTTGTTCGCATTTGTGGTATGCGCCTTGGGCAGTCTAACGGAGCATGGAATGCCGCGGGTGCATTTTCTTGGAAACAACAGATTTTATGTATATATATATGTATATAAATAAAAACGAATATCTTGATCGACAATTTATCATGACTATAAGCAGCTGTAATCTTTAAGTGTTGTTAGAAAAAGAAATTATTTGCTTGCAAAAGTCAAATACATCATTATAAAAACTATAAATATATGTAAAATTTATGCTAGTAATAAAATTTTTTTAAAAAATCTAGTTGTAAATAATTTTATAATTGTACACAAGACATTGGGAAAAGAATTTTTTTTTCAGAAAAATAATATTGAAGAGGATGAGTTGCGTAGTGTATAAGATATTTTAAAGTTTCTTTTTTTTTCCTCCTCTCTTATAAAGGACTCCCACATTTTTACAACCATGAGAACTGGAATCTAGAATTAAATAGAGTGAAAGATAGATGTGGGTAGCTGATATTCACTATGGGTTTATATTCCTGTAATCGGACGAGGCTTTCAATTCTATTTTATTAGAGCGATGGAATCAGTAATAATCACAAATGATTCGTATCTTTGCCCCCTTTTTTCTCAAGAGTTCAATTTCTGTTCCTAGAAGGATTGTATATGTTTGGAATCAATTGAAAAGTCTAATTCATCTTCATTACATCATAAAGTGTAATGGTATTGTGCAATATAATTAATAGAAAGGACGTTTTTAAATTTATATTTATTATTAATTTAATTTTAAAAAAATATTTTTTTAAATAATTTTAGATTAAATATTTTTTTCCATATTTAAAGAAATTAATTAATATTCCAAAGATATTGTTATGTTTGCATTATGATTTTCACTTGAAACAAATAAAGAAAGAAAAACCATTCTTTTGATCTCGTTGTTATTTTTTTTTCTCAAGTGACATAATTAATAGAAATGTGTGTACAGTAACTGCTTTTAAAGCATTGCTACCATCCCTTTTACGTCAGTCAACCCTTTTTATTCTGAAGAATCTTGAAATCATAGACTCTTGTTCATATACGAGTGAAGTTAACTTTTTGATGGTAAAGATCAAGAGAAACCGGTTCGGTCTATACTCAAGCGGTTCCATTATACTCTCGCTCTGTATAGTTTTAAAGACGTGAGTTACAAAGTGACGTCACACCTTACTTTATATATATTCACTAGTTTCAAATTTCTATAAATGGAAATGTCGGCTCAAAATTACTATTCAAATAATAGTAAATCTTTTTGTTTAACTTAACACTTTTATAAAAATTTTTTTTTGATTTTAGATACAATAATTAATTGACTTAAGCGGGGGGTTTTTTTTTCATCTTTTTGCAATTTATTATTAGAGAGGTCAAAATTCTCATTTAGGATTGTATAAAGTAGATTTCTAATTAACAGACATTTCTCTCTACTCACTTACTTTCTTTTAGAATGACTAATTTAATTTTAACGCAACTTTCCTAATTGAACGTTTAATTTTAATTGCACGCAATGTATACATATATATGTATATAGAATTTTTAACTAAATTTTCAACACAATACCGAAAGTCATCGCGAATAGAAAAATTTTTAAATTAAATCATATTAAAATTAATTTACTAAATTTATATAATAACAAAATAAATATATTCATACACCTATTTTTAAAAATTTATTTGTAATAATTTTTTTAACTTATTTTTTCAAATTAATTTTTTAAAACTAATTTTTCTCAAATTTTTCTATATATACTTAACAATTTTTTGTAGTTTTGTAAATTTAAGAAAAAAACATTTTAATTACTATTTAATTAGTTTTTTTTTAAATTATAACACTGAGAAAAATGTTTAGTCAGAGCAACCAAAATTTGGTTGGGCCAACAAAAAAATTTTGTTGGTATTTAAGCAACCAAACTATTTGTTTGAGTCAACCAAAAAATTAGGTTGAGTGTTTTTTGTTGGTATAACAAAAATGTTTGGTTAGCTCAACCAAATTTTTTTTGTTAAGTCAACAAAAATGTTTGGTTGATGAAACCAACAGTTTTTTTGTAAAATTAAAAATTTTATTCTACCTTATCTCTTTTTATTTATTTCATTATTTATTTATCAATTTAACATTGAATTTATATTTATCCAATTGAAATATTTGTGGACTTTGAAAAATCTCATCTCCGACTGGGATCGAACCTTCGTTTTAAAACTGAAGGTCGAGAGCTCTGACCACTGGACTACCCATCCTTGTGAGAGATTTAAACTAACTGTTCTCTTAAGCTATGAGCTGAGAGCGAATCAAATTATTTGGTTGTCGCAACCAAATTTTGGTTAGGACAACAAACGATCATTTGGTTTCTTAGACCAAACTATTTTGTTGTGTTAACCAAATTATTTTGTTGTCGTAACTAAATTTTGGTTGGAATTTAAAAATGTTCAACCAAATAATTTTGTTGATCTAACCAAATGTTTGGTTGAGATAACCCTACGACTTTGTTTCAGCCAACCAAAATTTGGTTACAAGAACCAATATTGCCTAACCAAACAATTTAATTGCAAACACTAAATTTTTTTTCTCAGTGTAATGATTTGTTACTTTTAATTTTTTGATCAATTTTATCCTTGGTGAATGAAATAATCGAATTTTTTTCATTTTGATTAAAATTATATCAAACATGAATTTACTCACCGATCATTGAATTTAAATTCATTTTCATTATACGGAGGTGTGATAATTAGTTCAGATTTGACAACATCCGATTGTAAATGAACTGTGTGCCTGTTTGGGCGCATGTCCTTACAATTCACGGAAATAGAGAGGTCATCTCGTTTCCGTTTGCGATTATTAGTCCCCAAATTCTGAAGAGCCCCCATCGATGGAAACCGGAAACTCCATGCAATACCTGTAATGATTCATAAAAAAATTATTTCCTCATATATTCGTTGACATATATAGTCATTTATTTTTTCTAAGAATTTTCGTCATTTATAAATCATGGACATTCTTTATATTTTTTTGAATTTTTATTAAATTTTTTTTTTATATTTATTAATTTTTATTAAATTTATTATTTTTCTTATATTAAATTTCTGATATATTTTCGTAATGAATATTATAGAATTTTAAATATGCTATTTTTAAATTGTCCTTTCACCTCATTTTTTCCAGGGTTTTTCTTAACAATCTAACATTCAAGAAATACGTGAATGACAAAGGCCTTTTATCAAACATAAATTTGTTATCTTCAATCGATATTGAACATCTGCCACAGTATTTGAAAGAAAGAGTTTATCATACAAAGATTCATTCTTGAATTAAAGTTTCGTTTTTTGTATTTTTAAATTTTGTAAAATAAAAAAAGTGAAATTTTTTTATGTATATATATATATACTGAAAATGGTCTACATTCTTGTGCCAAGTTGTAAACGTTTGTTGATAAGCTACGAAATAATCGGCAAAATTTATTTTTAAATATATCTCTTTAGCTTACTTTTATTATTTTCGATTGTTACTATTATTTTAGTTTTTCAATTTATTTACTGTTTTCAATTATTTTATTTTATTATCAAAAACAAAAATTACCAATATTTCAGTTTTATTTTCTTTTTTTCTTTTTCAATTAATACTATTGTGTCTCTGTTGTTTTCTCAATTATTATTATTTTAAAACAAAATAACTAAGAAATAAATTTAAAAAAAAAATATAATTTCTCAATGAGATGGCAATTATTTTGATTTAATTATTATAAAAAATACACAAAAAGTATCATAGGAACATGATTCAGGTGAGTATGCTATTTCTTCGAAATACAGTTAACATAATATCTGGCGATGGTGATAAGGTCGACATTATGCTGAGATAACTCTGTATGTACAGTGGTGTATCAAATACAAAAAACTCCCCAGGATATTGATAAAAAGTTTCAAATTAGCAGAGCTGATAATTTTTTTTACATATGTTAAAGTTAACTCTATTGAAAAAAATACAAGGAAATTGATTTTGAATTTTTAAAAAATTTAATAATAATAGTATTAAATACGAGGAATGAGTTCTCGAACAAATGAAAAAAATAATGATATAAATTCGAAAATATAATATAAAATTATATATCTTTAAAAATGACAATGAAAAAATTGTCACCATGAGATAAATAACCGGTTTTATTTTACTTAATTCCTGAACAATTTAAATAAATTTACAATTCGAAACGCACATTTGCCTTTAAAAAGAGAAATATATATATATAACGTTTCTAAGATCGCATAAACTATATTGTACTTTGTGCAGTATATAAAATATACACGAAAATACATTTTCTTCAGTGAACAATATATTTGCAAAGAAAGGGACTCGAAAAATTTCTTTAATTTCCTTTCATGACGCATTTCACGCGGGTACTAAAATCGTGACTAGAATAACAATATATATATATATATATTGCATACGCCGCCAGAGTTACGCGAAGGCCTCTGAACAAATAAGATCGCAAAATATTTTTATTTTTTAGAAAATTTAAAAAAATTTGTTTCTTATCTCAAACAAGATGATGACAAACAACTTTTGTTTTAAAAACAACATAAACAAACGTCCTTGAAAATAATTCACTGCATATATAAGTTAGAAATATTAAAAAAATTGTTTTAAAATGCACAAATAAATTGTTAACATTTGCATTAAAAATTTTTATATAATTAGAAAAATAAATATATTATATATTTAACGTTCGAAAAACTCATTAATTTAATAATAAATAAATAAATATAAAATAATGTTTTATATTTAGTTGTAAAACACTTTTTTTAAGTCCTCATTAAATATGAAAAAAAAATGTATTTGCTTCTTGTATATAATAATTATAAAATGAAAAAACTGTTTTATTTTACGATTATTAAAAATTTAAATCAATTATTACTTTTCACGTATATATACAAAGACAATTTTTCTTTTTCAAAAGAAAAACATAAACGAAAAGAAATTATTTTAATTTTTCCATAAAAATTTTATCATTTCATGTAATATATTTTTTTTTTAATCCGCACTTATCACAAAAAATAATAAAATCCCACAAATTTGCACAATTTTTTTTTTTTTTTTTTTAAATCACTTTTCACATCACATCTTCTTGTGCGACTATTAACCAAATTCATTGAAAACAAAGTTTAAAATGAAAAAAAGAAAAATGTGATTTTCATCGTCGTGCAATTAATTGACATCTGGCGCGAGATATTTGTAAACGAGCAATCAGCAATTTAGCGACACGGAATTGCAAATTAATAAGAACCACTTGCACATTACGAGATCACTTTTTTTTTTATTTATATAATATTCTTTTTTTTTAAATTACAACGAAAGAATCGAGAGATTACTAACTTTGACTGCGTTTTGATTTTAGTTTACTGGATGCTTTTCCCATCTTTGTCGAGATCACATCCGACTAGTAAAACCATAAGTGAAGCGAAAAAGTGGTTTTCTGCTCTTTCGGAGCAGATGACTTGACGGGGACACACACTCGTGTTCTGCGGAACTGTGACCGTAGCATAATGCGACACCGAACGAACTGCCTCGTTAAAAGATACGAAAGGACAGACACAGACCACCAATGGATATGTATAGTTCAGGAGTGGAAGAAATGCCTTGAATCAGTCTATACAGGACACACAAAGTTTGCCGCACACGTGGGTTTTTAGGATCCATATACACATATTATATGCATTGAATAAATGGAGGGCGGCTTTTCAAAACCTACTGTTGATCGTCAAGGGAGATGAGATCAAGACAGGATGGGAAGGGACAAGGATAGAAAAATGACAATAGCTGTACACTGTGGCAAGTGTTCAACATTTGTGTGCGAGAGAGAATGAGAGAGAGAGGGAGAGAGAGGAGAAAATACATTTGACTTTGCGATAATACAAAAAAAGAATTTTTTTATTTTTGTGCAGTCATATTTTTTTTGTTGACCCAAACAAACCTTTTTCGTTTTAAAAAATAATAAAATTAAATTTAGCATTTAATTTTATTTGTTACTTAATTACTCCATTCAATTTGAATATTGAGAATTCGTTCACTAATTCAAATTAGTAGAAATTTTTAGTAAAATTTTTTGATTTATTTGATTTATTTTTATACTAAAGTTTTAGTGAAAACTTACTGAAAATAAGTAAAAAAAATTTCACTAATTTTTAGTAAAATATTACTATTTGATTTAGTTATATTTATTTTTAAATTAGTCAAGTTGGTGGCGCCACTATCTATGTCGTTTAGCATTGGCTCATTTTGAGTTGCAACAAAAATGAGACTAGGTTTTTTCTCTGTATTACTATTTGTTTCAGTAATACTTTTTTCCAGGGACTGTCTCGAAATATTTGTGTCGTGTCCGTGTAGTGTCGCGACTCGACACGTTTGAAAACAATTAAAAGTATCGTGGCGAGACCCGACACTTTTAAAAATTTTCAAACGTATCGTGGCACGACCCGACACAGTTAAGAAATTCATAATTGTATCGTGGCGAAGCACGATACGTTTAGAAATTTGTAATCGTATCGTGGCAGGACTGGACACGTTTACGAAATTCTTAAAAGTATCGTGGCGCGACTAGACACATTAACAATTTGAGAATCGTATCGTGGGGCTAAACTACACGACACAATACAAAAATAATTATGAATTTCGTGTCGCATACAATGAAACTTGTTGATCAACATCTTGACAGTTTATTAATCCTTCAATAACATTTCAAGAAATAAAATTAAAATAAAATAGATATAGATTGAATATATATCAAATGTAAATTATTAAATTTATATTATATTATATTATATTATATTATATTATATTATATTATATTATATTATATTATATTATATTATATTATATTATATTATATTATATTATATTATATTATATTATATTATATTATATTATATTATATTATATTATATTATATTATATTATTTCCACGAATTTCTGTTTTCATCCTATACTGTTTATTTTCATGTATTTCTTTTTGTATTATCAACAACTTATTGTCTAGTATGTAAACAAACCACACTTAAAATTAAAAATAATTTTGTTCAATAAAATTAATAGATTAATTTAATTTATTAACATTTTAATATTATTATGATTTAAAGAATTGAAAAAAATGCAAGACTTGATTACGAATTCAATATCAGTTTTTTAAAATTCAAAATGGCGGATCCAATATACCGAATCAAAATAACTAAAAATGGGCAAATTCGTCTAAACCATGTTACCCAGGGGTTTTTGGGGTCGCTGATTACGAATCTGACATCAGTTTTTCAAAGTTCAAAATGGCGGATCCAATATGGCGGAAGACAAAATAAAAAATTAATCGGATTGTATTAAAAACCTATTACTCGGGGGTTTTCAGGGTCATTGATTACGAATTGTGACAAAAGTTTTTCAAAATTCAAAATGTCCCAAAAAACGCTCGAGTAACAAGTTTCAAAAGATCCGATCCTTTTTAAAAAATTGTTCAGCATATTAGATCCGCCATTTTGAATATTAAAAAACTGATGTTACATTTGTAATCAGTGACCCTGAAAACCCCTCAGTAACCGGTTTCAATCCAATCCGATTAATTTTTTATTTTGTCGTCCGCCATATTGGATCCGCCATTTTGAATTTTGAAAAACTTTTGTCACAATTCGTAATCAATGACCCTGAAAACCCCCGAGTAATAGGTTTTTAATACAATCCGATTAATTTTTTATTTTGTCTTCCGCCATATTGGATCCGCCATTTTGGACTTTGAAAAACTGATGTCAGATTCGTAATCAGCGACCCCGAAAACCCCTGGGTAACATGGTTTAGACGAATTTGCCCATTTTTAGTTATTTTAATTCGGTATATTGGATCCGCCATTTTGAATTTTAAAAAACTGATATTGAATTCGTAATCAAGTCTTGCATTTTTTTCAATTCTTTAAATCATAATAATATTAAAATGTTAATAAATTAAATTAATCTATTAATTTTATTGAACAAAATTATTTTTAATTTTAAGTGTGGTTTGTTTACATACTAGACAATAAGTTGTTGATAATACAAAAAGAAATACATGAAAATAAACAGTATAGGATGAAAACAGAAATTCGTGGAAATAATATAATATAATATAATATAATATAATATAATATAATATAATATAATATAATATAATATAATATAATATAATATAATATAATATAATATAATATAATATAATATAATATAATATAATATAATATAATATAATATAATATAATATAATATAATATAATATAATATAATATAATATAATATAATATAATATAATATAATATAATATAATATAATATAATATAATATAATATAATATAAAAATTATATATTATTGTATATTATTTTGTATGCATATTATTATTAGTATTATTATTATTCCATATATGGGCAAATCCACAGAACCGGCCGATTTCATGTTACTCACATATTTTTCTATTTTAGAAGTATTATATTAATTATTTTCATACTTCAACCATTTTGTAATATCTCTGAGAACCTATTGAAATAAGAAAATTGAATAAATGTGAACCTTCTAGTCTTTTATAAAAAATAAAATCGAATTAAGTAACTTAAAAAATGAAATTTACGGTGTTACTCCAGGTATAAATTTTAATTCTTATAGGTATAACTTGTTCGGCATAGATCCGAACAATTCCAAACTGTGGTGAATTATAGTTTACTTATTGAAGAATGTTTTGAAAGTAATAAAAAATATGTGCTCTTAAATAAAAAGAAATGATAGTCGTTGAAAGTAGCGTTACTCATTATTTTATAATAATGAAATGTCTATACATTTTTGTAAATATCTTTTGCGGCGATTATTCGATTTGAATTTTTCAAATTGGAGCTTATTGCTTGTGAACAGACGAACAAATGTATGTATCATAGAATAGAGTGCAATCAGAATTAAAGAAAATATTCCAATAATTATCACTCTATGTTTAAGCGTGAACCATTTTCAACTTAGCCTTTTTTCAGTAGCACAACTACAGGATAAAATATGATGAGTTGAAAACATGTGTGATTATATAAAGACATTATTATAATTCTTGTATGCAAACGCCAAATTATATTTTCAATTTATAACGTCTAAAAATTAAAAATAAAAAAAAATTTATCGAAATTTAACTAGTTAATCGTGAAAAATGAATTATCCTTTCATTTGTTTTATTTTCAAAGTTATATCAAAATCGATGTCAATAATGTCAGTTTGTTGGTTAAAATAGTTAATATCAAAATTAGTAAGTAAACAATTTAATTTACAGAAATAAAAAATTAAATGCTAATAAATAAAATATATAATAAAATATGATAAAATATAAATAATTTATTTTTGATAATTAAAAAATTAATTATTTGTATTTTATCATATTTTATTATTCAAAATGTTTTGCACATATTTCAAATAATATATAAAAAAAACAAAGAAATGCCATTTTTAATTATAATTTCCAGAAGAAAAATAATATTTTCGTTTTTGGCTTTTAACTCAAACGGCATTAAAATAAAATGAATCACGCAAGAAGATAATTGTTCTTGAATATATTTTAAAGAAAGTAAACCATAAATAAAAGGTGTGCTTGCTATTTGGAAAATTTTCATCTTGATAAGTAAAAATCGGCCGGTTCTGTGGATTTGCCCATATACTATATTATAATAGATAATACATCATAGATAAGTTTAAATTAATTGAACAATTTTTTTTCATGCGACACGACATATTTATGCAGAATTATCGTGTCGTGGCAAGTCATGATACGATACGATTCTCAAATTGTTAATGTGTCTAGTCGCGCCACGATACTTTTAAGAATTTCGTAAACGTGTCCAGTCCTGCCACGATACGATTACAAATTTCTAAACGTATCGTGCTTCGCCACGATACAATTATGAATTTCTTAACTGTGTCGGGTCGTGCCACGATACGTTTGAAAATTTTTAAAAGTGTCGGGTCTCGCCACGATACTTTTAATTGTTTTCAAACGTGTCGAGTCGCGACACTACACGGACACTTTCTTAAAATTCAACAACATTTCGTGTCCGAGACAGTCCCTGCTTTTTTCACTAAAGTTTTATTGAAAAATGACTAAAAATTAGTGGAAATTTTCAATAATTTAAATTATTTCAAATTTAAACAATATAGATAATTTAATTTTAATGAATTAAGCAGCCGGATCAAAGAAGGGCACATAACTAATGTAATTCAAATGGATTATGTGCCCTTCTTTGATCCGACAGCTCAATTAAATAATTAATTTAATAAACATAAATATATCATTTAATTTAATTAATATTATTAAAATTTATGTAAATATTTTTAATTTTTTGTGAATGAACAAAAACTTTCCTTCTTGACGTTTTATTTTACAATTTTAACAATATATTTGAAAAAATATCAAATATTGTTAAAATATTTAATATTAAATTAAATTATTTAAAATATTAATATTGTTAAAGAAAAATTTATTATTTTTAAAAATTGGGCCCTTGTGACATACAAGTACGAGGCTGTTGTGATGTCATTGTAAGCCGGAGCTGCCTTCCATGCACTTACACAGTTCTTTATAAACGCTAAACGATTTTGTTTGCGCAATCATTGCAACAATGTGCACCTTAGATATATTAGTTTCTCTCTCTCTCCTTTATTGTACAATTTGCGGTCTGGTTACACGATACTAGCAATTATCCATATGGTTGTTTTAGAAAATAACATACAGTTGCCGCGCGTCAATAATAATTCTTGTCTATTATATATATATAGAGAGACATTGAGGTCTTGATTGAAAATTAAGTTGTAAGATTTTTTATTTCCAGTTTTATTATATGGTTGAAGATTAAAATTTAATTCTTAAAATACAATTAAAAAAAAAAAAATTATTCTAAAGCGAGTCGAAATAAAATGGAGAGGAAAAAATTTTACTGTCTCAAGGCACTGAAATCAATTTAATTTAATTTCAATGTTATCTACTCTTAAAATAAGAATATTTTTATAAATTTTTCAATATATTCTTAAATTTAGCATTTTATTTTATTTTAAACATAATAAACTTTTGTCAAATGAAGTACATTAAAACAAATGAACCAAAATGAATAACGCACTATATGTAGAAAATATTTCATGTGATTAAATTATTTCCTTTGACATTAATAGAAATCTTTTCTTATAAATCTACAATACTTTTGTATTAAAAATATTTGTTTCATTGTTGATAGAATAAGTTTTTTTTGCTTTTCGTAAAAAATTAATTTATTGACAAAAAAAAAAAAAAAAAATAATAATTATAGTAAAATTAGTAAAATTAAATTTTATAATTTTATACTGCTTTTATATATAAAAAAAATAATAAATTTATAAAATCACTGCCTTTTTCTATAAACGGGTATAATTATAAAAAAAAAATGGTAATTGTACATTACGTTTATTCAATAATTGGCTCCTGAATAGAAAATTACAAAAACCGTGGGATGTAGTACACGCATTTGAAAAAATAAATATAAAAAAAATAAGTGATAAAAACGCGGAATTGTAATGAACTAGTTCGACGACTATTGTCTTATATGAAAGTAAACAACTGTCACATGATTATTGTTTGAAACTGTGACCGGATGATTTAATCAAAATTGTCATAACTTTACTTCAATCAAGGTATAGTTGATTCTTGACAGTCTCTGCCAAAAATTATTTTAAAAAAGTTTTATTAAAATTTTTAATTTAAATTTTATGAATAATTATGAATTTATATTTTTTAATAATTAATTACAATTATTATAAATTAATTTAGATATCAATTTTATAATTTAAGTATAAAAATCATAAAGTGAATATTACAATAACTTTTAAGGAGTCATCAATATTACATGAATATAAAGTATAAATAAGTTTTTTCAATTATAAGTTAATATTTCTTCTAAAATTAATTTAGTAGTAAACATCTATAAATGTTTGCTGTTGTCTACTTCGAGAATCAAAACTTTTTTTACGATCTCTATAATATTGAAGATAAGACAGTTTGAGCAATTATGTAAGACTTGATATCATAAATTGAAAACTATACGAAAAAAAATCTGATTAGGTATATTGTTCTGATAAAAAAATCTAAGAATTAATACGCCTATATTTCATGAGATTTAATTTTATGAATTTTTTTTATGTCTATTTGTGAAAGAAAATTGAGTAATTAAAATAATTATAATTAATTTCTTCACACTTGACTATAACGCTTTTATAAATTAAAAAATATATAAAATTGACAAAATGTACGTATAATTCAGTTAAAAGAAATTTTAAAAAATCGCACTATATCAAAAAATGATAATTGGTATAATATTACATAATTATGGTAATAAGATAATAATGTTGAATTAATAAATAAATAATAATTAAATTAAATAAAAATTATTGAAAAAGAGAATAGAGATAAAATCAGAAAATATGTAAGAAATATGAAATTTTGCTAGTGATACAAAAATCCTCGCGCCTGTTTAATGTTTACGTGCTATACATTACTAAAACTATGGTGGTTTTACTTAGGCTTAAAGTACAAAAAATAGGGAGTTAACGACACCGGGAGTTAGGAGTTAAATTTTTCGAGTTAAAAATCAACTCAAAAAGGGAGTTAATAATTAAATAATTAACTCCATAATATACTAACACCCTAGGCATAAAATTAACTCGTAAAGCATTAACTTCCTTCGCTTTAACTCCAAAAGAGTGGGACTTATATAGCATCCCCTAGGGAGTTAAAATTCAACATCTTTTTTTACAGTGTATAATAAAAATTAAAGAAATTTTTATTTATTATTAAATTATTTTTACTATTTATATATACAAAATCACTGCTTTTACTTCAAAAATAAATTTTATAGTTAATAACATTCTTACTTTTCAATGAAAAAGACGATTTTTTTAGAATTAAAAATTAATTGTCTTAAGTGCCATAAAAAAATATTCTAAAATTGAAAATAAATACTTGCCACCTATTTTAGAATATCTCAACTTATTTTAAAATAATTAAGTATTTTTTAGTATTAAATATTAAAAGAATATATGGGTGATTCTCTGCGTAGTGCACGATTTGGTGTCTGAAACTTTAAAAATATTTTTTAATCGAAATTTTTTTAAACAAATTAAAAAAAAATTCTTTGCTTTTTGAATTCTACAAAATAGTTAAAATTTGATTTAAAATGTTTATGGAAATTTTTGGGGTAATTCACAAAAATATATATATAGCGCGAACGACAATAATTAAAAAATTTTATTTCGGTAATTTACGGAAATTTTAGAGGTAATTTATGGAAATTTATGCGGTAATTTATAGAAATTTTGTCTAAAATTCATAAAAATATGTAAAGCATAAATCACAATTAAAAATTATAATTTTGGTAATTTACGAAAATTTTCGCGGTAATTTACAAAAACATAATATAGCGCGAACGACAATTAAAAATTTTATTTTGGTAATTTATGGAAATTTATACGGTAATTTATAGAAATTGATTTGGTAAGTTATAGTAAACTTACCGGAGCTATGATAGTTTATAATAAATATTTTTAATTTCGTTTGTTTCATTGTGTATTAAACTTTCACTAGTGACGGTGGAAATTCTGTGGCGGATGAAGACGCTGGGGTCGGTGGAACCGATGGAACTGGCGTTAATAATTATTTTTTTTTTTTTTAGAATATTATCATTTATTTTTAATTGGTTTCATATGTTTCACACATATATATATATATATATATATATATATATATATATAGACTAAAATAATATAACTACACTTTATTTAACCTTTATTATTTAATTATATTCTATTTTTTTAAAAAATATTGAAAAAAAGCAAGTTGTGCGCTACGCGGAGAATCATTAAATCTAAGAATATATTTGAAGTGAAAATAATAAAAATATATTCTTAGACTTAAAATATTTTCTCAATTTAAGAATAGTATATATATATATATATACTAGGGGGCTATGCGCGCCAACCCCCATTCCCCTTCCTCTCTTCCCCTCCCCCACCCTAGATTTAAAGGTTAAGATCGTTTCAAGACTCTGAATTTAGCCGCAAGTCCCCCCCCTTCTCTTCTAACCCCCTTCTCTTGACTTGTGGCTATATTCAGTGTCTTGGAACAGCAGCTTCGCGCGCCAACTCCTATCCCCCCTCCTCTCTTCCCCTCCTTTTCCCCACCCCCAACCCTAAATTTAAAGGTTAAGATCGTTTCAAGACTCTGAATATAGCCTCAAGTCCCCCCCTCCCTTTTCTTCTACCCCCCCTTCTCTTGACTTGCGGCTATATTCAGAGTCTTGGAACAGCGGCGGCGGCGATATCTTTTTGTAATATAGGTAGATATATATATATTATTATTATTATTATTATTACATATTAATAAGAATAAAATTATAAGCACATTTTATTTTTACAGTTAGACTAATATTCTAAATATATTATATACTTCTAAAATATCTTACGATTTTTTTTTAAATGTTAGGAATATATTTACAATGCTTCAATTCTCAAATAGAGACCATTTTTTGGAGCCAAGGTGAAGGTTCGTGAATTATGTTGAATTGGAATTTCAGTTTTCTCGCAAGTCGAAATCTTGTAATGTAACAAGAGTTTAATAAGCATCACTTTCGTTTGAATTAACGCTATTCTTTTACCTAAAAATCAAATTATTAAAATTTTTTAAAAATGTCTATAATTAAATATAGAAAAATTTAAAAATATAATTATTATTTCAAAATATATTTAATATTTAATTGATTAAAAAAAAGTTCATATAAAATAAAACGATTAAATATAGCAATAATTTCATATACCAATGCATATTCTGGGACCTTCACCAAATCCTAAAAATGCTAAAGAATGCCTTTGAGCAACATTTTCATTGTTAAATCGTTCTGGATCAAATTTTTCTGGATCTAAATATATTTCCGAATCATTATGAATTGCCAAAATAGGAATAGTTATTCTTGTTCCTTTCGATATAACAAAATCACTGTTTGGTATTTTATAATCCTTGAGACAAACACGTGATAAAAGTGGTACTGGTGGATACTTTCTCATTGTTTCTGAAATAATGAAAAATCTTAAAACAACAAATTTATTGTTTTTTTTTCTGTAAAACTATTCTTTGTTGTAAGTATATAGTAAATTTTAAACTTTCAAAATATAATTGAGCAGAATATACAGTTTCCCTTTGGCGTCCGTCCGTCCGTCCGTCGTACACTCGTACGATAATACCATAGCAACCGTTACCATAGCAATCGTTTCCATGGCAAGCGTTACCATGACAACCGTTACCATGACCGATTTTTCCATAGCAACCGTTACTAAGGACTTTTTTCCTTAGCAACGGTAACATTAATATTGACCACAAAACCCTGCGATGAAGGCGCCATGAGTCTCCTTCTCTCCTATTTTTTTTCAATAGTAAAAGACCATTTCTGTTAGACAAAATATTATAAATTTTCGTCTCTTTTTCTTCTTTTTTACTCTCGTGTGTTAAATCGTAAACAAATTTCATTGACATAAATATAATTAATATTTTTCATTCCTAATGTAAAAAGAGAAAAAATATAAATCAAATTATTCACCATAAAGAACTTTTTGCAGATAATTCATTTCAGCAATGCTATCGTAAGTTAAGCCACCATAATTTGAAATGATACTTTTAATTTCCGAGCGAAGTTTCTCTTGTATTTCAGGATTAAGAGCAATTTCATATAAACAATATGTTATTGTCGAGGAAGACGTTTCATATCCGGCTGCAAAAAACACAAATGCTTGGGCTGCAGCAAATTCGATATTCACATTTCCAGGATATTTTTCTGTAATTAATAATTTGATAATATTTTATCCACTATATTTGTTAATAACTCATATATAACTTTTTTTTACTTATTTTAAAAAATATTTTATGTTCTAAATATAATAAAATATAATAAAGAATTTCTTAAACCTTGCGAATAAATTTCCTCGTTTATTTCTTTACTGACTTGATCTTCTTTAATATAACCATTGTCGATTAATTCAATGAGCAAATCTACAAAATCTTTTTCGTGAATTTTATTTTCTCGTCGATAAGCAACGACATCCTTGAAAATTTCATTAAAATATTTATTAACATCATGTGCTATTGGCCTTAATCGAGTTATCCTAAGGATAATTGGTGCAAAGAAAACAAGTAAAATTTTCACTGGATTCACGTCGAAAATTTTCTTACCATAAATGCGAAATTTTTCGTTTGGATTTTCTAAACTGTTACATTTACAGCCATATGCAATTGATGCTATTATATCAGTTGTATACCTTTAAAAAGAATTAAAAATTACAATGATAAATAATTAAATAAAAATGTTAATAATAATAATAAATAAGATTGAGTGTTGCATATTTTAATTACGAATTAAAATAATATTACCGAGCAGCAAGATCTTTAAAATCAATCATCTCATTATTCTTTGCAGGAAATGAACAACAATTTTTCAAATTTTCTCCAACATTCACGATATGATGAAACATTTCTTTTATTTTTCTCGACGTGAAAGCTGGCGAAATTTTGTTTCTATTGTTACGCCATTTTTTGTTTCTCTCAAAAAATAAATTTCTCAATAGTGGCTCAAATTCTATATGATCGTCTGGCATACGATTTTGAAAATATTGAAAATCTTTTATTGTAATTAAATTAATGAGATCAAGATCAGATACAATTAAATTGGGCTCATGGAAAGAATAAACTCCATGAAAAGGATACATTTTAAATTTTTCATAACTATCCTGCATTAATTCGCCTGCAAGAATAAAAAATTTATTTTTCATTTAATATGAAAATTTATTTATCTATTTTATTGATAATCTCTGCCAAAAGTTAAAATTTTTTTTTATATTTTATAAATTTTATAAATTATAAATAAAAATTACTGGCCCAGTACTGGTACCAGTTCCGCGTTAGTAGTACATTTTTGATAGGAATTATGTAAAATCAATAGAATGTCAAAAAAAAAAATTTTAAGTTTATATATTATAAATTTAAATATTTAGTTCGTTACCCATTGACACTTGATTTGTAATATATCGCCATGTATTTCCAAAAGGTATGATTGGTTTCTCATGTGGTACATTTCGTCTTTTCCAGTATGTGAATGTCACAAATTTTAGATATAAATAAAACAATATGAATATGACAGCACTCCAACGCAATATCCAACCAGGAAAATAAAAATCCAAGATGGACATTTTACGTTCTAGAACACATTTAAGATCGTAATATTATTCTCTTTCAACGTTAGTTAATTATTATTTTCAATAAATTATATTTATAAAAAACAAGAAAAATAAATTATTAAAAATGACTTCACTGTTAATAAAATGAAAACAAATATTTTTCCTCGAGACATTAATCATGGAATATTAGTTTTTTTTTTAGAGTGACTGAAACAGGTCAATGTACACTAAATTAAAATTCAATGATCTTGTTTTTTGCAATTATTAATTACAAATTATGTTTATATTTATTCACAATTGCAATAATTATATGTTTAACATGTACTTACGACTTTTTATATTAAAGCAAACTTAAGATAATGTCAACTATATTATATTTTTATCTTGGTAGGCTTTTGATTCACTGATTAAAGAAAAAATTAAAAAGATAAGTATACAATAACTTCACACGGAGACTCTTTTCCACTTCACCAAGAATATGAAAATTAACTGAAGTCTAAATTTGCTACGGGTTAAAGATGTAGTCCTATAAATGGTCCTTGAAAGAAACCGGTTGAAAGTTACGAGTGACGTAAATTTATTACAAAAAACTTTACTATCTCCTTTTTATTTTGTAATAGAATATTAATAAAAATTTCTTTTCACAATGACAATTTTATATTAACTAATTATAAAACATTATTTAATTTTTGTTTCACAGAAAATTCAATTCAATTAAATATATTTTCTTGTTTCATTACAATGTTAGATTTTGAAACAAAAATTTTCTGTTGACTCAACACTTACTGCGTTTCAGTGTAGTTTTTGTGATGCGTTTATCCAATAAAGGTCATTAAAAGCATTAAATGATAATTATTTTTAATACTACATTTCTGTATTTATTAGATAAAGTGGTACAATTTAAAAAAAAAGAAATAGATAAAAAAGATTTTTTTTTTTCTCATTATCTCATTATGCTTTTTCAATTCTTAAATAAACACCATTTTCGGGAGTAAGTACAAAAGTCCGTGTACTATTTTTTATTGGAATTTCAGTTTTCTGACATATTGAAAATTTGTAATTCATTAACAATTTAATTAATACGATTTTAGTTTGAATTAGTCCCAGTCTTTTGCCTATAAAGAAAAGGAAATAAATTTTTAAAAAAATATTAGATATTTAAAACAAGTATAAATTAATTTTTGATATACGGAAAAAAATTGTTAAATTTAACAATGAAACATTTGTTTGATATTCGTGCAACTAAATTTACATAAAATAATGAAATATTAAAAAAATTAAAAAAAAATTCACACTGTTTAATAGCACATTCTCATAATTTATACACGTGCATAATGTCTGTAAATTATAATTAATTTTTTTTAATCCCTTGAAATGTTCATTATATTATTTATGTAAATAAAAAATAGAATATATAAGGTCATGTGATTGTTGTATTTCCACCTGTAAATCCGTAGGTCTGATCCATAGATTTTCTCGATAAATATTTTAATTAACTCAAAAGGATTAAAATATTTAGTTTCAGAATAAAACGAATTGATTCGAAATGAAGAAACATAAATTGAAAAGAATTAAAATTTAGCTTCAGAATATAAAATGAATTGATTCGGATAGAATATTTTGTTACGTTACATTAAAATTTGGATCCGAATAGAAAATGATTGGCTCGGAAACAAATTTTGGAATTTCTCGAAATAATACATATTCAAACTGATTGAAATTTAATCCAAAACCTTCGTCAGGGTTAAACTTTGTTATTTAACAACGAATTCTTATATTATTTTTGAGTTCTCCACAAAATTTTAGCTCAATCTATTAAGTATTTTGCAAGAAAACCTGCAGAGAATATTTACATGTGAAATCACAACAATCACATGACCTTAAACTTTCTTTTGAATTTTTAATTTAAATCTGAGATAAATTAAAAATTTTATCGTTCAAAGGAAATATTGTATATTACGAATTATATAATTTTTTTTCAAAATTACTATAACCATCAGAAAGTTTAGAAATTTTTAAAATAATGAAGTAAACGATAAAAATTTTTTAGAAATTTTTCTTTCAAAACTGCTTATAACAAAAGTATAATTTAGTTTCATTACACTGAGAAAAATGTTTAGTCAGAGCAACCAAAATTTGGTTGGACCAACAAAAAATTTTTGTTGGTATTTAAGCAACCAAACTATTTGTTTGAGTCAACCAAAAAATTTGGTTGAGTGTTTTTTGTTGGCATAACAAAAATTTTTGGTTAGCCCAACCAAATTTTTTTTGTTAGGTCAACAAAAATGTTTAGTTGATCAAACAAACAGTTTTCTTTGTAAAATTAAAAATTTTATTCTACCTTATCTCTTTTATTTATTTCATTATTTATTTATTATCAATTTAACATTGAATTTATATTTATCCAATTGAAATATTTGAGGACTTTGAAAAATCTCATCTCCGCCTGGGATCGATGCATGTAAAAAATCTTACATAGGGGGTGGGGGGGGGTTCAAATGACCAGAAGAAAGTCTTACGTAATTTATGGACGACCCCTACCCATCCTTGTAAGAAATTTAAACTAACTATTCTCTTAAGCTATGAGCTGAAAGCGAATCAAATTATTTGGTTGTCGCAACCAAATTTTGGTTAGGACAACAAACGATCATTTGGTTTTTTAGGCCAAACTATTTTGTTGTGTCAACCAAATTATTTTGTTGTCGTAACTAAATTTTGGTTGGAATTTAAAAATGTTCAACAAAATAATTTGGTTGGCTTAACCAAATGTTTGGTTGAGATAACTCTACGACTTTGTTTCAGCCAACCAAAATTTGGTTACAAGAACCAAAATTGCCTAACCAAACAATTTTGTTGCAAACACTAAATTTTTTTTTCTCAGTGTGATTATAGAAGAATTATTATTTATTTAAAAATTGTGCTCCATATAATCTATTTAATAATAATTTAAATATGAAAAATAAAAAAAAATTATTATCAATATTAATGATTTTAAATAAATAATTGAATTTATCACTCGGTTAACCTTAATTAAAATTTAAAGGTGAATTGGACGATCACTCAGAGTCAGGTTTAATGTGAAACAATTTCTTTACGTTTCGGAAAGCGCAGCTGCCCTCTTCAGAAACTATAAATTTATTAAATAATTACTATTAAAACACGATACATATATATATTATTGTAATAATTATAGAATTTATATAAAGCTTAATTACCGAAGAAAAATGAGTCTATACGTCTATGTCATAGCAGTTTTGATTTGACAATGATAAAATAAATACAAAATTTTTTCGAAGTACATAGCAACATCAGTCGTGATGGGGCGAATGACCGTATCAGTAAATAGAAAATAAAGTAAGAAAAATGGCAAGGTTTATGAAATCAAATAAGAGAGTTATGAATTTTTTTTTTTCATTTAGAAATTGAATATAATAATTATTGAGATTTTGTATATCCTCCTTTTTATTAACTGGATTTTTATAGTAAATTAATATGTACCATCTCTGATATTAAACGTTTTTTGTATAGTTGCTTTCTCTGTCTAGTATTTTAAAATTATCCAAATCAAAATTGTGTTTTTAAGAATTATTATGTGTAGCAATTGCATTATTTTTAGAGTTTTTATGTTCTTTAATACGAAAACCAACCATTCTTTTTGATTGCCCAACGTAAGATGCAGGACAATTTTTACAATTGATTTTATAAACAGTATTGGTATTTTCATCTTTTTTGTTTTTATCATTGCCCTTTTTAACTAAATTGTGGTTCATATTATTATTTTTACAAGGAATGGATGAAATGCAATAATTTTTTAGATATGAAGAAGTTTTTTCAAAAAGGTTGGGAACATAAGGTAGAAAAATCTTTGGTATCATTGTGTAAATGTTATTATTCTTTTTTTGTTCTAGGATATTGAAGATTTGATTTTATATAATGTATGCGTTTAGTTATATATTTATTTATAAATTCTGATGGGTAATTGTTTTTTAGTAGAATATTTTTGACTAATTCAATGTTTTTTGTATGGAATTGAATTTCATAAGTGAACTGTAATCTTTCGTCATAATTGTTATAAATATTAATCATCTCATCAATGTTATCAATTGGAATACAATTGTTCAATTCACCTTTAAATTTTAATTAATGATTTTAATTTATTTTGAAAATTTTTATAGAAAATAAAGATTTATAATACCAATACACATTCTGGGACCTTCTCCAAATGGCATGTATGACAATGGATGTCTTTTAATAACATTCTCAGAGTCAAATCGTTCTGGATCAAATTTCTCTGGTTCTGGATAAATATCCGAATTGAAATGTATTCCCAAGACGGGAATGATTATTTTCATACCCTTTGAAATGCAAAAATTTGTTCCCGGTACTTTGTAATTTCGAACACAACTTCGTGATAGCAAGGGAACTGTCGGATACATTCGCAAAGTCTCTATTTTTTTTATAAAAAAATGTGTTAACTTTTTTTTTAATATTTGTTAGTAAATGGAAATAAGTTTAAATATTCTTGTTATAATAAAATCAATTGGAATTTTACTTTTACTTTTTTAGTCCATAGAATAATTTAAAGATTCTTTTAATTAACATTTGAAAATATTTCTGTATGTGATATTATTATTATTATTATTATTATTATTATTATTATTATTATTATTAATCTTACCGGATAAAACTTGGTCCAAATATATCATTTCCGCAATACTTTCGTATGTTAAGGATTGATTATAAAGTACATTTTTCATTTCTAATCTCAATTTTTCTTGAATTTCCGGATTAAGTGCCATTTCATATAAACAATATGTTATTGTTGACGAAGATGTTTCATAGCCAGCTGCAAAAAATACGAAACTTTGTGCAGAGGCTTCCCTCAAAGTCATTTTGCGAATATTGGTCTCTAAAATTTATTGCAATAATAAATAATAATTTATTAGCTCTTTCAATAATTTTCCATTATATAAGAAAGATTTTTAAATATTTTGTTTTATATATTATTGAATCAATTAAAATGAATTTTTAATAACCTGTTGCAATTGCATCTGAAGATTTTAATTTTGTGTCATTATCCTCAATGAAACCATTATCCATTAATTCCATGAGTAAACTAACAAAATCTTTTTTGGCTATATTATTTTCTCTTCGATAAGTGACAATTTCCTCAAAAATTCTAGTAAAATAATCACCGACTTTTTTCTTGATGAATCTTATACGAAATATATTGAGAATAATTGGAGCAAAAAAGAAGAGTAAAACTTTAATTGGATGACCATCGAATATCTCATTACCATAAAGACGAAATTCTGCATTTGGATTTTCAATACTATTACACTCACAGCCATAAGCTAATGTTGCAATAGTATCCGTTGTGAATCTAGAATTATAATATGATAAATTTAATTCATCCACTAAAAAAATTTTATAATTATATTTGTAATTTGATTTATATGTTTTTTCATTTTTTTTTAATTTTATAATTTGCTATCATAATAATTATTTATTTTATAATATAGTCAAGTAACTGGTTTTTTTTTGAGTTAGCAATTAAATTATTTCCAGTGATTTACCTAGTGGACAATTCTTTTAATTCAATAATTTCATTATTCTTTGCTGGTGATTCACATTGTTTCTTTAAATTTTCTCCAATTTCATCAAGAAGATGAAACATTTCTTTCAATTTTCTTGAAGTAAATGCTGGCGAAAGTTTTGATCTATTATTTTTCCACTTTCTACCTCGTTCACAAAATAAATGAGCAAGCATTGGATCAAATTCCAAATCAACATCAGGAAATCGATCAACAAAGTATGCGAAATCTTTAATTAACACTGAACCAATCAATTTAAAATCATTAATAATTACAGTCGGTTCAAAAAATGTGTAAAATCCGTGTATTGGAAAAGATTTAAATTTTTCATAACTTTCCTGAATTGTTGCTCCTATAAAATTCATCGCATTATTTTATTAAAATAATTTTTAAAAATTTCACACTTTTCCAACAAAAAATAAATTCTATTATTCATTTCGTAATTAAAGAAGAAGATTTATTTTAAATTACTATGATAGATAATTCATTAAACTAAATAATTAAATTTGCATAGATTAATTACACACTGTTCGACACTGATTTTGCCCTAGGGATAATTCCTGATTACTTTTCAATCAGATTTTGATTACAAATCTATCACGTCTAATTTTTAGGGAAAATTACTGTTAAAAAGTCAAAAAAGCGTGTTATTTATTTTTTTTTTATTTTAATTAAATAATCTATTTACCCAATGATTTTTGACCCCTAATGAATTCTAGAGCATTTCCAAAAAGAAGAATTGGCTTTTCATGTGGTATTTCTTTTCTTGAGAAATAATTAAAAATTATAAATTTCAAATAAACATAAATCACACTGATGAATGTTAAGATCCAAAATATTTTTGAATACAAAGTGTATTGAATTAAATCCGTCATTTTATACTGAAATTGCAATTAAAACATATTATATGGGTGATTTAGAATCAAAAATAAAACAATTATTTCAGAAAAAGTTAACAAAAAAAGTGCTTTTAAAGACTATTTTTAGATTCATCAGAAAATAAATGATTTTCTTATTTAAAGAAATCTAAATATAAAACAAAAAAATATTTATTTTAATTTTTAATAAAAATAAAAAGTCTAAAACAAGTTTATTTCTTTTTGTCGAATTCCAGCTATCAGTAAAAAATTATCATTAAATGTTTAAAAATATTCTTCTATATAAAAAAAAATTGCTTAAGATTAATTTACTATAATCAAATGGATATATTTTTTGTGCAAAATGTCCATTTAGAGTTTAGTTAAATATATATAAACTACTCTTTATTTAAAGAAATAATTTTATAATTTTAAAACCGGTTACTCACATCAGTCTCGCGAACATTGATCACAACCTACTTGATATCCCAGATACAACTAAAAATGTGAAATGTAGCTTTACAAGAGTTCTCTATACATATAAATTATATATGCGTGTATGTGAATAAATACCATATATTCTTCTTTTTACATACAGTATAAAATTATTTATAATTAATAAAAATTTAAATTCTATACAGTATGTCGATAAGGCAGAAATAAAAAATTAATTCTTTAACATTCACTATACTCATAAATTACATGATATTTTTATTACTAAATAAAAAAAGTGCATGGTAGATTTATTTTAATATTTTAATTTAAATTACTTAAAATTTAAAATGGCAATTATAGATTTTCGAACACTATTTTATCAGTGAATATTTGAAACAAACAGTATAACAATTATCTGCAGTTGTTCAATTGAAAAAATGATTTCAACTGGGATTATTGGTGAAAGTAGGATAGCAAGAAACTTCTATAATGTGCTTGGAGGTGGCGGCACTTCACCTTTTACAAAGTTCGTCAATACTTGCCTCACAAAACTGGTTTAATAATTACAACTTTGTCAATAATTGCTTAAAATTTAGTTTAATAATTAAAATATATTGTCAAAAATTGGATATTAAAAAAATAAACCTTAAAATTTAATTGCAAGTAAAATTATTTTTCAATTTTATTTAAAATTTTTTACAAATTACAATAGGTACTTTTAATATTAGGAATACAAATGTATGAAATAAGGGTACAACCCTTTTAATATTACATAAATAAATATAAATAACAACAAAAATTTAATACTCTCTAAATTGGAATTAGTAAAAATTTCCACTAATTTAAATTAGTGATTCACTTTTTGCTTTTGAATTAATAAAATTTAACTTAATTCAGAAGCAAATAGTGAATCACTAATTTAAATTAGTGAAAATTTTTACTAATTCCAATTTAGACATTAGGAGTCTCATTAGGAAAAAAAGTTCTTTTTTTCGTCATTTAATTTTTGTGAATTTAGATTTATAAGCAATTTTAGTTGTAACAAAGTTGTAACAAATTTTAGTTGATTAATATTAAGGGGAGGGTTTGCTGAAATTTCAACCTTTCAAAATTAAGGACGTTTAAGGTTATCATTTTTTTTTTTTTTTTTTTGACAATATTGAGTATTTAAAACTGTAATATACTATGGGAAATTGAAAAACAATTAATTCATTAATAATTTTTTTTAAATAAAACTCAAAATTTTGAAAAACTAAAAAATTTAAACTTCTGTCGCAATTTGATTATTTTTTATTGCTGATTTTTTAATACACTTTTTTCATGATTCTGAACAATCAATCGTATGGATTTTGAATATATTCTATTTTTTTCAAAAAATAAAATTTCTAAAAAATAAAAAAAAATTGTAAAATTGTTAAAAATTACTTTTTTTTATTTTTTATTGTGAAATATAATTTCAGGTTCTAAAAAATTTTTTTTTAAAATTGGATTTTTAAAAATTTTAATATTTTTAAAAAATAAAATTTCTAAAATGGTCAAAAATTTTTTTAAAATTTTAATAATTTACAATAATTTTAGATCACAAATAATGATAGAAAAAAAATTGTCCTACCTTAGTCCAGTGGGAAATTGCCAATGGTAACCATTGGGCTATTATAGGACCAATATTGGGCATTAAAATAAGCTGCAACGTTTATTATTTTAATCCAATTTTGCTTATTTCAATACTAAAATGGATTAAAATAAGCAAAATTGGATTAAAATAATAAGCGTTGCAGCTTATTTTAATGCCTTTTAATTTTTTGTGAAAATAATAATTGGTAATTTTCCTAATAAATATTTTTTTGAGTTATTTTAAACAAATATTATTCTCACTTGAATTCGTTATTCTTTTACTGGTACTTTAAAATTTATAATAAATTTTTTTCATAAAATACAAAGTCAATAGCTTTAAGCGCCTCCTTATCATATAGAATACAATAATGATCTTCTGGCAACGAGACAAAAGCCATAATTCCATTTTTGACAGTTGCCTTTAAAAGTGTAATACCATAAAAAAAAGATTAAATTCGTTTTTCGCATATTATACGTTTAAGATGCGATCTGTATATACATATATAAATCTGGGACAATAAAAGCCTTGTGAGATTATTGACGAAGTGAATACTCGACGTTCTAGGTAGAGCGTAAAGCCACATTGAAGGATGCACAGTTGTTAGAAAAGTTTCGTCGCTCACGGTAACGCTTGATAGAAACTACAAAATGGAAAGGGTTGAGGAGCGAGGGATAAAAAGTGGAAAGAGAGAAATCTCCCAAAGCAATTTGGCGAACGTAGAGACCCTAGATTAACATCCGTCGTATCTATAATGACTTTAATGGTCCATAAAACTTTTGGCAGACATGCTACCTTCGATAATGAGACTTAGGTTTTCAATATTTTACAAAATATTATTATATCTTTTTTCAATATTTTTAATATAGAAGCATGTCAATATTCAATTTTCATATATATATATATATATGTGTTTATTCAACAAACAATTATTTTATTTTGATAGAACCCTTTTATTTTCAATGCTTCGAATTTTCATTTTAAAGAATTTTATTATAAATACAGTTATAGTTTTTTAGACAAATTTTTATTTTTAACAGAATTAACTTTTTAAACAAATTTTTACTTAATAGAATTTACAGCGTTGAACTGTCTAATTGTTATAATTTTATATCAAATTCGTATTCAGCGACCTCGAAAACCATTATAGACATCACTATATTATAAAAAGATTTTGCCGCCGCCACCGCTGATTCAGAAATTTTAACAAGGACTGTACTAACCATGTCAAAAACGAATAGGTTAAAACGAACATAACCTTAAAAATCAAGGTTAAATAGGTTAAAGCGAACATAACCTCAAAATTCAAAGTCAAAAGTAATCAACCTAAGACCTATGTTTTTGACATGGTAAGTACAATATAGGTCTTAGGTTGGTTACTCTTGACATGGAATGACCCATATCTCTACCTCTATTAGCATTAAAATAAACATAACCTCAAAATTCAAGGTCCTAGGTGTCCAGAATTCAAGATCATAGATCGAACATAATCTCAAAATACAAGGACATCAAGGCACTGTTGGCTTTAAGGCCAATAAGAAATATTTGATTCAAATAAATATTTATTTGCACTGAAAAAAGGGTTTGGTATTGACAACCAAACGTTTGTTTGGTATTTAAGCAACCAAATTTTTTTTTGTTGAATCAACAAAATTTTGGTTGTCCCAATCAAACTTTAGTTAGGACAACAAAAATCCTTTTTTTCTAATTTTGGTTGTGTCAAACAAATTTTGATTGAGATAATTAAAATTTTGTTGATTCAACAAAAAAATTTTGGTTGCTTAAATATCAACCAAACGTTTGGTTGTCAATACCAAACCCTTTTTTCAGTGTGATAATAACCAAATACACCGGTATTTGAATCAAATAATTTTTTTTTTTCAGTGCATAACTTCAAATTCCCCTAACCAAGAAACGAACATAACCTCAAAATTTACAAAAAATTTTAATAATTTTAATACTTGCAAGCCTTTAAAAAATTAATCATTAAAGTGGGAAATAATGGAGGTTATTAGGGGAGCCAAGCCCCCCTAGCATGTCATATATTAATTATTATTTTTTTTTCTACTTGGGAAACATAATATATTTTTTATATTTTGGCACCATTTTAGATACGCCATTTTTAATTTTTTGTTTTTGGGACTAGATTGTTTGTATTTTTTCTTGAGACTTTGATCCTTTCTTAAAAAAAAAGCTAATACCATTTTTTTATTGGCAGAATTTCAAATTTGTTAAATCTGTATTTTTCCTAAATTTTAATTTTCGTTATTTGAAAGAATTTTTTAAATAACGAATTTCCATTCGTCCGAAATTGTAACTGGCATAACAATGCAATGGACAGAAAGTTTTTGTCGCGAATTTTAAAATTAACCAATCACAATTTTCTTGATAATTTTTAACAATTCTGTTAAATAGCGATTCGTGAAAATCAACATTCAAAGAAATGAAGATTCGGTAAATTGGAAATTCTGAAATTTAAAAATTCGAATCACTTAACATTGCCGTTGAATGAGAATTCAGAAAAGTAAATTAAAGTTGGGTAAAGAGAAATAATTCTGTAAAATAAAAATTCGGTATCAAAAAGTTTTGTTAAGTAAAAATACGTTTAAAAAGAAATACTGTAAAAAATGTTAATTCGAAAAATGATAATAATTTGTCTAAAAAATAATTATATCAAATAAATTATTTATTAATTAATGAAATTTTCAACTAATGATTTTTATATGAAATTCATGCGGTCCCTTTATAGATTTACACTATATTTTTAATTAAATATATATTTTTTTAATTATTATAATTTTGTTTTCAAATTGTTGTTTCAATTTTTTTTTTATTTTGTAAACCAATTGGTATAATAAATTTTATTTTTTAATATTTTCTAAAAATTAATTTATAAATATAATATATGATATTAAAAAATTTTTTTTTATGAAAAATATTTGTTGACTTGTTAAAGGAAATTGGAAGAGCAATAGAAGCCGGATATATATGTATACTTGTATGTTCGAACGGTTTTGAGTATATATATTTTTGGTCGATTTGTACCGAGAATCAGACGCAGTTTTGAAAGAGGTTTTCATGTGAGATCAATGTGAACACTAAAGTATGGCACAATAGCTCATTGAGATCAATATATATATGATGTAGTCGACGGTGGGATTTATTATTTGCTCGTCTCAAGAGGAATGAGGGGATAAATTTGTATTCAGTACCTGTCGACAACAATCTCAAGCTGAGCTGCATTTCCCTTTGATCGAAAATCCGAGACATGTATAGTTCATTCGTCTCAAAAGTTGACCCCTGGAAAATCGATTTAAATGCTAAAATCCATACATCATTTCGTTTATAATATGTAACACATTTTTTTTTTGTTCTTTTCTTATTTTTAAAGTAAAATACAAATACAAATATTCTAGAAATGCAAATCCTCGAAAAGTACGAAATATTTCATTCATAATTTTGAAATGGGAATTTTTGAAATCCTATAGTTATAAACGATGGAAATATTT